AGGTAAAAGACTGGGTCCTGTATTGTGGCAAAGTTTTGCTCTGGCGAGATTTCTGGGGAGCCTGCAAACCAAAATTTACTTTCTCTGTATGTCTGGGAGCTGATCCTTATTCTACATTCTCACAACTTACTTCCTCTACCATAAAATCAGAGAGCAGCTACTCAGAAACTTCAGGTTTCCTGAGGAACGCAAGCCCAGACAAGCATGATAAGCTGCAGCAATGCAAACTGGAAACTTTCAGAAGGATCAGGTAACCATACTTGAAAGATCATCTAAGGTACTCATTCTCATTTCTGGGAGGTCAAGGGCCTCAAGCAAGAGTCTTTATTATGTCTCCTAAAATGATCAAATTGGTCTCAAAATGCAAAGAACAATAGAGGATCTAGTTTCTGTGAGTTCGGGGTGGGATGAGTCAAAGTTAAGCAACAATTGTGAAGAAGCTGCAAGTGACACAAAAGAAGTAAACTGACAGAAACCACATGAATGAGCTTTACTAAGCCTGGAGGAAATGCAACTCACAAACAAAAGGATCTGATACTGAGCTCCACACGTACAGTACAACCTTTTTCATTAATGCTCTATGGAAGGAATAATTGTGTTCTTTGATTCTCTTCTGATAAGGTCGTTAATTAATGAAAGTTGCATTGTTGTCATGTATCTGTTCTATAGACGCTTTCAGGTATACCCATGTGTCCAGATTTGATTTTCTCTTTCCATTGGATGAAAAGCAAATGAATTTTCAAAGCACGTTAAAATCTTAAATTGATATGCGGAATAAACACTCTTGGACTTTAACTTAAAAAATTGATAGAGATCTTGGCCCACAACAATAGCTTATCCAGAGGATATTGGTACTAATTTGTATTTTTGGGTTGAATCCCCAAAGTGAGTGTGATCAGGGTGTTTTAGGTTTGGGGATGCACAGTTAGTAATGTGAAGAAAGGGAAAGGCACTTAATTAGTTTGTAGCTGGAATGAAGTGTTAGGTTGGTGGCCCCAGCTGGTGTTATAAACTATCCTGAACTTTCACACAATACAGGGAGTTTTCAAGCTGCAGAATTATTACCTACTGTGAAATCAATCTGGTTGACTTGTCCAGACATAGGCCTCCGATTACCAAAACCCAAAGTCTTGTGCTCACACAACTCAACAGTGAACTGGAGCACGTTAATGTATTTCCAGTCATAAGTTATTTAAAGATGCCCAGAAAAAGCACTGGTCCAGTGTTCCTCAAAGCCGAGTGAATGAAAGCTGTGCAAGGATTTTAAGGCCTAATTAAATTGTCCGCTACTCATGTGATCTTATTCTGTCTTGTGAAGCAACCTAAAGGTTCAGAATTGCATCATTCTGTGATTGATTTAGAAGTCAGTGAAACAAATAATAAGACATAAAGCAAAAAGCATTTTACTATTTTGTAAACCAGTGTTAAATATTGCAGTGTAGGAGCTGCAATATTGACAGTTTTCACAACGTTGCACGCATTGGTTCTATAAAAATTCTGCACACTGTCATGAGTACTGTACAATCATGAATCTTCTTTTGAGCTAAACACATTCCCATCTTTAAAGATCAGGCCTATCCATTAAACACAGATAATGCCTCAAAAAGACTGTGCAGCATTGCAGAATATAGCAGCTTGTGGCTTTGATGGTCTTGCAGTACTTCCTGAGCAAGCTTCCGCTGGTTTAATCCTGATACTGCTCTGCTGTCCTCTACTTACACGGAAAAAAAAAACTGTAACGGACAGAAAACAGTGGCATAGAGAACAGTTTCTGCTGCTGTCATGGGCCGTGGCAATACTGCATTAAGAAACAGGAAAACCCCTGCTTGATGCAATTGATGGTTTTATTGCATTAAGACTGCAAAGCAACTCCAAGAACACTTATTTACAGAGTCATGCAAACCATAAAGTGTAATTAATCATATTTACTACAGTTTGGTAGTATAACATAGGGATGCTGTCATGCCTTCAGGGTTTAAGTGGATGTTTTCCCAGACTATTTAGAAATGAATACAACTGAATTGCAACGTGGACACTAAGTTTGGAAAATTATAGTCTTAAGGTTTCAAGGTTATATCCCTGTTATGTGTTAGAACTGTTTTTCTCTTTTAAAATGAATTTCCTACTTAGGTCCCAGTAATATCTGGTTTGCCTGTTGATGTATCAGGTGATTGTCAAGGCTGTGGTAAATCTGTCAGAGGTTACAAAAGCCACCCCTTACAATCCCAAAGCACACTAAGCAGCTTAGTTTACGATTGAAGCCTCGTTTTCATGTTTATCTTATTCAAAGACTCTCTTTTGTGGTAAAAGCAAAACTTTCTATCATTCCACCATTGTGTTGATTGATGTTAAATAGTTAAATTAGTTTTGCTGTTTGGAAAGGAGTGGCATTGCTTTCTCTGCTTCTTATATTTTTTCAGGTAGTAAACTCGCTTCACAAGAGCAGGAGTGTGGGAAAGTAACAACTGATTTCTTACCTCAAACTAACAAAGAGGTACCTCATAATTTGCTCAGAGGATTATGTTTAAATTGATAGAACTAATGATGCCTGAATGTTCATTTCTCTTGACCTCTATTTGTAGAGGAAATTTGTCTCAATAACTATAGATGTATCGCACATTTCTGACTGAATATGAACATATTTTTTTGTTTTGGTTTTGTCAATACTACTTCGCCAGCAGCCATATCGCCCTGCAACTCACAACTGGAAACCCAATGAAGCTAAGCAGGTATGAGCCTGGTCAGTACCTGGATGGGAGACCTCCTGGGAAAAACTAAGGTTGCTGCTGGAAGTGGTGTTAGTGGAGCCAGCAGGGGGCACTCACCCTGCAGGTCTGGGTGGGTCCTACTGATGGGGACACTAT